ATGAATAAAGATGTGGCGTGTGTATACATACACACACACACACACACACACACACACACACACACACACACACAGAGGAATACTACCTAGCCATAAATAAAATTTTGCCATTTGCAACAACATGGACAGACCTGGAGAGTATCATGCTGTGATATGTCAGACATAATGTGGTTATTACATAAATGTGAAATCTAAAAGATAAAATTAACTAGCAAATATTAACAAAACAGAAACAGACTCACAGGCATATAGAACAAACTAGTGGTTAGCAGCAGGAGAGGGAAGGAGTAAAGTGCAAGATAGGTATAAGGGATTAAGAGGTACAAACTACAATGTATAAAATAAATAAGCTACATGGATATATTATGCAGCACAGGAACTATAGTCAAATTTTATAATAACTATAAATGGTGTATAATCTTTCAAAATTGTGAATCACTAAATTGTACACCTGAAACATATAATACTGCACATCAACTATACCTCAATAAAAAATAAATTTAAAAATTTTTTTTAATTTTAAATACTATACTACAAATTAAATTCCTTCATTTCCAGAAGGTTCTCTCATAATTGTTGGGAGAAGTATGCAGGATAAAGATAGGAGAAAATTCATTTCATTTTTTGTTTTACTTATTGTGCATCCTATATAGCTTCATCTAAAAAAAATAAGATTCTATACATGGTAGAACTGTTTCAGACTCACCAACAGTACTATTAGGAAATAATTAAACTCTTAACAACAGCTGCACTCAAGCAGCTGAAATGTAGGACACACCCATGGCCAATAATCCAAAAAAGTGTGGTGACCTTTCAAAATAGAACCAGTTAAAAATCTGAGATTCAAAACTGTTGACTGAACTTTCTAAATTGTTCAGAAAGTCATCTTGAGCATTCATTTTATTCCTGGGATGAAAAGCCCACAGATTAAGTATCACCTTAACGTACATGATTATTTTGTTAGTTAAATTTAATAAAGAGAGAAAACACAATAATAAAAAGTTCAAGAACATCTGTCAATCTAAATTTTCTAAGACACTCTTTCTTCTGAGGAAACTCTGCCCTCTAAAACTTTGTCATTAACAGTTCTAAATGCAGCCTGTGAGGGAATGCTTATCTGAATATTAGCTTTGCGCTATATCTAAGTGGAAGGGAAGTCACAGTACCAGCTTAATCCACCCTGTTGGAGGGAAGCAGATGTAGCTGAGAAAGCTAATCAAACTTCAGATGAACAGCGAAGGGACTCAGCCACACATGCCACAACACTGCTAATAGGCTATACCCCAATACAAAGTAAAAAGTTTAAAGTTACAAACAAGAAAAATCAAGAATTACCTTTATTAAAAAAAAAAAAAAGAAAGAAAGCTAATCAATAAGAAATTTGTAGGTCCCATTAGCAGTCATGCCTCATACATTCTTCCCCCGGTGCCTTATAACCATTCATCTATTTTCTGTCTCTATGAAATTGCTTATTCTGTACATTTTATATAAACAGAATTATACAATTTAAAGAAAAAGAAATGTATGTGATATTTTCCATTTTAAAAATTGACTATTTACACTTTTTATTAACATCCTGATGATACATAAGCAACATTTACAAGGCACTTAGAAGTTTACTAAATATATTTTCCACATACAATATCACTTTCTTATTGTTACAGTAACCCTACTGTTATTTTTATACTCAAGTAACAGATAAGGACTCAGGCTCTGAAAACCTTTGTAATTTTTCAAGATCAAACAGGGAAGACTGCCTTTTCTCTAAAAAATATTTTTTCAATTCTGGGGATACTTTTAGACGCAAAGGAAGCTAGCCAGTGCTATGAACTTCTGGGGATACACTTTTAGAAGTAAAGGAAGCTAATCAATGCTATGAGGTTTTGTAATGATAATAACGCCATTATCTTAGCCCAAAGAACTAAAATATTCTTTAATCAGCACTTTCTCATCATGCTGCTGATATTTACCAATACAGTAAAACACCAGGATATATACCATTATCTCCATTTTACAGACGTAGAGACTGAGGCTTAAAAAAATTTAAAGACTTGAGCATGATCTCGCTAACTCCAAGATCAATTTACTAAGTCATTTTGCTTCCTGAAATTGGAGGGATACAATTTTGGCTTGTGACCAGTATAACAGAAAATTATATCACCTGCACATATTTTATAATTAAAGTGGAAAAGTTGATTTTTTAATTAAATGAAAGTTCCTCCTCTTCCAAGGGGTAGTGTCAAGCTCCACAAACAAAGGGAATCATACAAATCTAAAGCATTTACCTCTGTGTTGGAGGAGGGAGAGAAGGCTTTTTTGTTTTGCTCTACTTTCTTTAAAACAAGCTCCAGGTGGGACAGCAAGTCTTTTGAAAACGCCAACTAAGGATAATTAAATTCTTCAGCAAGAGTAAGCAAAAAGAGTAGTTCTATATATAACAGTGGAAAAAAATGTCTTAGAGAAGAGCAAATCTTTCCAAAAGTGAAATTCACCAAATGAAACCCTGGAAAATGTAATTCAATCAAGAAATATTACTTAGGCCAATTTGCATTCATGAGTGCTTTGCAAGTTTATGATGTAATACGTTCCTTGTTGGATATATCTTTGTCAAATCCATCTGTCTATGGCAGATATACATAGTTTTATAGAACCTTATCTGCCAAAGAACTTCCACAGTCAGACAAAAATGGCGATAGAAAATAAAGTGCAGAGGGAAAAGAGACCAGCTACTGCTATTTGGAAAATGTTTCCTTTCTGCACAGTATCTTGCTCACAGATACCTGTCCCCTGGACAGCTGGTATTCCTTTACTCTTTCTTTTCTTAATGTCCTGCCCTTTCATGTAAAACAGATGTAAACCCAGAGAACTGAAGAGGTTAAAGTCCTAAAGGAAGTTCCAATGCAAGATGTCAATACTCCCAACAGAATTTCCCTGAGCCATGTTCTAAACACCTTTATGAACTGCATAAGCAGCTGATTAATATCCGATAGCTAAGCCTAGGTCATTTGTATTTGATTCATCTCAACCAGAGCTCAAGTTAATACTATAAAGAAGGAAGTCATGAAGAGGTGGGAGGGAATGTGATAGCTAGACCAAGAAAGCCATACTGACACTATGTTGAGAAAAGGAACCAGCTTAAAGGTCGGAAACCAGTTCAGAGAAAGCTGTTTCCACTCTCCCCACTTCTTACTCTACAGGGGCCCTGAACCACCTGGAGGGGTGAGATGACAGTCCTTCAATAGATGCACTCCTTTCTTCCACTGATACAGTCAGTTAAGACATAAAATAATGACTGTCAACTCTTACTATTAGTGTCTACAACCATGGAAACTAAATAAAGGAACTTATCACTATCACAATTAGAAGCGCATACTCTTTCTTCACAGTAAGCATGTTTCCAAAAGAATGTATTAGAATTACACATTTTAAAACTACTTTACACATACTTGGCTAATACAGAAAAGGATTCCATGTTAATTATTTTTCTCCCCTTTTATAAACCTCATCTGTTGCTGTGACCTAAAAGGGGTCATATTTTAGAAGGCAAAAATATTTTAACAACAAAATTTTGCATTTCCAAAGTGAATGAAACATAAAATTTTGCAAAAAGCATAACTATTATTTCTTTCCTACTGACCAAATCATGTGAGTCGTTTAAATAGGCGTGACCAAAAATAAACTGCTCTTAGGTATAAAAATAATATTTTTATAGGAATTGGCAAGTAACTACTGTAGCTATTAGAAATTTATACTGGCCACAGAAACCCACGATTTTAAAAACTGTTCAGATGATTTATGCTTGAGGCTTATGTACAGCACAAAAATATACATTTGTATCTCTAAGTCTAAAGATGAAAACTTAGACAAAAAGCAAACTAGAAAACAACCCAAAATTGTAAGAAATTACCTAACTTTGTGCCGTATTGAGAAAGATATAAAAATTATGTGGAAGAAAAATTATTTATAATGATTAACTTCATAGACAAAAGCCTGACTTTCTTTTTTTTTAATGACAGGAGAAATCAATAATGTTTTAAAAGTAAAACATGAACTACTTACCCTCACCAGTCTATACTCAGTATTAACTCTATCCTGCAGTATATGCTACAGAAGGTAATAAAATGCTGATGTTTTCTAGGTTCTCCCCTCAATCTGCTCCGGCTTTATCTTCAGCCTGGTTAGCAACAGAAGTCACCCCCAGCAATTACACAAACCTAACAACAGCTTCCCTGGGATAATCTGATCTGCTCTGACCACACATTCCAATCCACGTACTTTCTTCTGTTACTGTTGTTTCTGTGTGTTTAATATGCTTCTTAAAAGGCTTTAAAAAAAAAAAAACACAGACACACATACACACAAGCTAGGGAGTTCTCATTCAGCTTCCCACCATATAAACAGAAGCACTGAGGAGCATTTTTACACGTGTAAAAATATTCTAGTTATCCATAGAACATGTCTTGGTACAGCTTCAGGTGACAGTAAAGAAAAGCGTGGCTGTCATTTCACATTTCTCTTCTTTCTGTGCTCTGAGTGTTGTGTACCTGTCCCAAAAGGGCTGCCTGTCGTGACTGCTCCCTCCCAGCGGAGGACCACGTGGGTGGGCAGTCTTGAAACTTGCCGGACTCAAGGGCTCTCATCTGTGGCTCTGACTCCAGCAATCTGTTCTAACCTGCTCATGTTGGACCTTCCTCACTTTCCCGACCCCTTAAAACAAACCCAGCTAGCAAATGCATTGATGAAGAGCCTCCTTCAAAGTACAGCTTGACTCTGATTCGTGGCCAAAAAAAAAAAAAAAACTGGAATAATCCTGCCAGGTCTTAGAAGCTTTACGGTTATTTGCATTGAACTTGATACCCAGAAAACAGCACCTTGAAAATGAATCATTTGCTACTTCAGTATTTTTCTAATTACTATCACTCCCTCTCAGGGCATGTAATTAATTTACGGAGTTTTAAAAAAAAAAAAAAAGCGAGAGAGTCAGGATTACTCACACAGTCTTGAAGATGCAATGTCAGCTATTTAGGACAGAAACATCCAAGGCCGTGTTAGAACTCAATTACGACTACATGTGCGTTAAAGCAGGAGCTGGCAGGCCTCTGAACTACAGCAACTATAGGACTTGTGATTCTGGTACGCTGGGCTATAATTTATGAAACGGAGCCCCAGATTCAGCCAATCACTCAGCTCCTCATAACAAGTCTGACTGGCTCTGGAAAGCTGAAAGGGCTGCACTAGAACAACAAAGATGAGATATTCCACATAACACTCAGCTTATCTGGAATCACTTTCCCTTGCAAGGCCAGAAAAAACTGATAGCTTTACTGCCCAAGGGAAGCACGACAGAGGACGGGGAAATGCGACTTCACCTGGAGCAAGATCTGTTACGCGTTGGCAAGACCAACCTCGCCGGCCTTAAAGGACCCAGGTACCCCTGGGAATCGGAGGGCAACCACAGCCGCAAAAACCCAAAGGTAATTTTCATCTTTCCTTTTATTTTTAGTGGGAGTGATGCTGAGTCGAAATAATATGCATTAAGTCACTCCAGCAACTAGGTCCGCTTTGATCTCATTTTACCTTTTTCTAATCTCATCTATTGTAGGATCATTTGTTATTGAGGATGAGTCCAGGGAGTCTTAATGTACCTGAAATAAATTTAAAACCAAAATGATTATTTGTGGAGGAAGAGAGATCATTTTCCAGAACGGTTTGAAAGCTATCTTTTCAGATGGACAGCCTTTTCACCTACCCACAGAAACAAGAATAAAGGCAGCTCAGGCAGGGAAGAGGGAAAAGGGGTTTTATGAGTACAATTAAATGCTTTTAGTGTCTTAAAAGGAATAACTGTGCTCAGACAGTAAATTAGGAAGATGGGTTATTATACTGGCCCACAATCCTTAGGCTATATAGCATGTACCAGAATGTACCTTGGTGGGATTGTTGGGGCAGAAAATGATGCAAGAGCCAGTTGGCATAGCCCCCCATGGCCTAGGTTTCTGTTTTCTTTGCAATATTTTCCTTATTTCCCATCACATTTTGAAGTATTAGTAATACCAACTACTTGTTATGCCAAACTTCCAAACTGTAGTTATTAATGCATCTGTGGCAAACATTTTTAAGTCATAAGAGGTGACTAAAGAAAAAAAATTTTTAATGGAATTAACATATACCCTTAGATATGTGACATACTTTACCTAATGACAAATCCTTCCAAATCCTCAACAAATGATGTGTCTCTTCAGCAAATTTTGTAGCAAGTGTAACATTAGCAACCAAAAAATCATTGTAAAAACTTTTAAATAACAAAATCAATCATTATGCTTTCAAAGTGACAGCAGAACCTCCACAATATAAACTTGTGTCAGTTTTATATGCTCCCAAAGGAAGAAGCCAGGAAAGGAAACTTGCTTTGTTTAGTGATGAAATAAATATAAGGAATAGGAACAGGAAAGACCTTTTTGCACTTTTTGTTTGCTCTAGATGGTTGACTGAATTTAACTTGAGATTTGACACCAAGAAGAAAAACAGAAACACGGGGAATAGAAAAAATAATCTATTCATAATCCCTCCAAGATCTGTTCTTTGAATTGTCCAACTTGTGACTAACCAGGGAGGACTATTTCACTACGTTTAAATATTTTTTACTTAATTAAACCTTTGTTTACTTGACAGTGCTGCTGCTCATGGTGACTGTGTGAGAACTGAAACTTCTGAGGGAAGCCAGGTTGTTAAAATTGTGATTCCCTCTGCTCAACAATAACAAGGATGATCTAGTCTGAAAAGGAAAGCACACCCTTAACGTAACATTGTCATTGAATCTTCAACAACCAGAATTTTGTCACTGAATCCTCAACACCCAGAATTTCCTGGTTCTCATTCCCCAAATAAAATTATGTTAAAATCTCTTCAAATTCCAACATTCAAATCTCCATTTTTTCAACAGACAAGACCAAAGGTACTCTAAACTAAGGCATTTAAATTATTTCACATGATAGTTGCCCAGAAATTTCCTATAGGAAACTTTACCTTTGACAACTTTGAAGATAACCATCTCTCCACTCAAGACGATGGCCAGCAATCAACTAGCAAGTCCTTGAGTCAGAAGCTTTCATGGCTTCTGGACATTCTCTGTGTCAACATAAAGCTCAGTTTCAGACAGACCCCTGGCACCCTGACCCTTACAAACACTAAAGGTTTTGTTTGATTCAGCTTCAAGCTGTTCATCTGTTAGCAAGCAATGTTCAACCAAAAACACATTCATGACGAGAGCTTTCTAAAAGACCAGCATGGCCTTCCCTCCAATCATCATAATAATCATGATAGCCTGAGACATGTTACTGCTACTTGGCAATTGGGGGTGAGGGTAGATATTTAGTACCTGGAGTGGTCACATAGCAGGGAAAACCTCACACTGGAAGGAAGGAAGTGATGTCTCAGTACAATCCAACGTAAGCCAATTAGATCTCAATGCCCTATTTAAAACAATGCAATGAAGGAGGAAACTTCAAAATACATGCTGATACTCTAATCTTCTCCTAAAGTTGTTAATGCAGTGTGCTAAAGTCTGCTTATAGCAGGCATCATTTCCAATCCAACAGGGCTTGCGCTAGCAGGCTCTAGCTGGAGAGACTACCTCCATCATCACCATCAATTAACAGCTGTTGGCTGTCGCACCTGGCACCAAGAGGGTTCATGGTACACAAAGGTCATTTAGACAGCTAAATTCTGTTCTTAATTCATTTCCTGGATCTCCATCTAATAGACAAGAATTTAGATGATCTCAATTAAAGAAAAGTGCTCAGCAATGCAAACCTTTTATCTGAACCAAGAGCCATCAATCCATCTCAACTATCAGAGCAGGTCTGGTTGACTGAAAAGTGTCCCTAGATCTGGGCCAAGAACAGTTTTTAGGCCCACAAGCTAATCTGCCTTGCCCTGCAGTTTACGTGACCAAAGGAGTCGCTTATGAGAAAACTCTTAAGAAACATTCAGATCCACCAAATTGGTGTGTCAGACCTGCTGAGGTTGGCAAGAGGTTAACTGTGCTCCAGGTGAAATGGATAAATAGCCCCATTGTTTTCACCAGGTTGGACTCCTCCTAAAGAAACCCTAGATCTTGGACCAGGTTGCTGGTGGGGGCAACTGCAGACAGTTCAAACGTCAACTCTTGGAGCCAGTGTCTGTGGTGTTAACAGAAAGAGAAGCAATTACTTAGAAATACATCAGCTAGAAGGCCTGCTCACCTTGTCAAAGCAACAACAACAACAAAATTTCTTTTAAATAAAAAGGCATGGTTATAAGAGCTTTGAATCTGTGGTCACTGCAGGGATTAAGCTTATATTATTGGTTTAAAAGAACACATCATCTGGGCACATAGACCTCATAATCAAACTTGTTCTCAGCACGTGGGGGGAAATTTTTGTGGCTGCTTTTTAATTACCTATCTGAGAACATGAATGTTTGGAAACATGCTAACAATGCATGTGACAAGATTCTAAACCATATTACACATAAAATTAACCTAAATCAACAACTTTTTGTACTCATATATTGTCAAAACTCTTCTTCTTGGTAATGAGATGTTAAGTCATACAAAATTACATACACAAAACATACAATTACTTAAATTTTGTAAGAGAAAGGTTTGAAGGGTTGCATTCTTCATATTTGATGCCAAAAGCACCTCTTCAAGCAATGCGTAAGCATTATGTTAACAGCATGGAGGTTGACAGCATACACTCTTTAGACTACCTGGGTTCAAATTCCAGTTCTGATTCTTATATATGGACTTTGGGCAGGCTGCTTAAGAGAGCTGTGCCTCAATTTCCCCATATGTAAAATGGGCCACTCACAGTAACTACCTCCTGAGGCTGATGTGAAGATTAAATGGGCAAAGCCTGCTTAGAACTGAGCCTATTACATAATAAACATTCATTAAGAGAAAACTGTCATTTGTATCATAATTATTATAAGTTCATTGCAATAAATGTTCACAAGATCCAAAATGGAGTTGGATTGCTGAACAGTCAAATGTAAAATATATCTATTAACATCATATATCTCATTTCGGGAAATATTTATGTAAGTAAGGTTTTGTCTTAAGGCCTCTGAGATGAGAGCTCAAGGAGGTGGGTCTGTTGACTGTCAGTCTTCTGTCTGGTTATCACTTGACATTTTCAACCCTGTTCTACATTTGTTGTGTCGCACACTGGCAATAACCTAGGAAATTACACAGAAAGGGAAATTGTAGTAGACATGATTCAATGCTAGTTGGTCCAAAGTTCAGCCTAGTTTAAAGATTCCTGCATGAAAGCAAAAAAATAATGGAAGCCATTCATTTCAGTCATGGTACCCTCATCAAAAAAAAAGTTGAAAGGACGGGGGGGAAAAAGAGAGACCTGTCACAAACAGCTCTGATGATTAGCCAAAGACAGGAACCATGTCTAGAATCCATGCTGACTTCTCAGCATAGATATGAGAGAACACTGAAGCTAATTATCTCCTCTCCTCCCGGGAGAGGGGATTTCTCAGTTTAGGAGCTTATTAACTGGAACTTCAGCTTACTTACTGAGGAGGTGCAGAGAAAAAAGTCTGCTTGGTAAGGGAACAGCTGCTCTAGGGATGGACAATGGCCTGCTGCACTCTTTCATTCCCACATTCCTTCATTCATTCGTCAGTGGTCTCACCCTTAATCTCCTTCCCTGCCCACTCAAACTCCGGCCAGCCACCCCTCACTGCTCACAGGGCCTCAAGGACCCTGAGCTGTCTGACAGCTGTGCTTCCCAGGACGCATCTCTCCATCTGTGTGCCCTTCCGCAGCACTGACCACCTAGACCAAGGACATGCCCCTCCTTGAGAGCAAACCCCTTCCTCCCACCTCCTCTCCATGGAGTGTGCTTATTCCCTGATGGTAAATTCATGAATCAGCACCACTTACCACATGAGTTAGCAGGACAAATAACCAGGGAGAAAACTGGGGAACATTTTCAGTTTAGCAAAAAAAAACACTTTCAAAATGAAATCCAAGGTACTTTTTTCAAGATCCCAAAAAATCAAATGTTAAGACTTAACAGTCCCATGACCAGCCTCATCTCTGGTCTTTCTCAACAAGTTGATAAAGAAACACAAGGAGGCCTACCCGGGATGCTAGAAATGACTGCATACGTGAAAACTTTGTATGGGGCCTGGCAAGGAGTTGAATGCGTTAAACTAAGTCTCCTTATTCTAATTATCCTGCTCCTGGGAGAGGAATGCCAAAGGAAGGAAGTCTCAGTTCCAAAAGTGAGTGATTAGTTCCCCCACTGCACTATGCTGCCTCAGCTCCAGAGGTGGACACTTCATGTGTCCGTTCTCTCCACAGCCCACTCATGCCACTGAGGTCTTGCTACCCACAATATTGCTGCAGTCCAAGCCTGTGACTCAGGGGGCAGGCATTGGACATACGCCAAGACAAGGAGGATGGGAGGGGCTGAAGAATTAAGAAAACAGTGTGTTGGAGGATAACCTTCAGAATTGGGACAGGATCCAGTGTATCTAAAGATATCTAAAGTATATCTAAAGATAGTGCCTCTCCCACTCCACCTGTGCCTCGCCCCTCAAAAGAAAAAAAAAAAAAAATAGTTTTGCTAATCTCTCAGCTTCCTCCACTAAAGTGGCTTGCAAAGGAGCCTGTCCTCCCCTCCCACCAAATGAACCCCCAGAGAAAGCACATTAAACCAGTCTGTGCCACTATGATTAAATGTCCCTGTTACCTTCCACTTGGCACTTAATTTTAATAGAGGCTTTCTAGAAATAACCCGAGAATCAAGGAATTTACGACCCTGGAGATTTCAGGCCCCTTGGAGCGTGATAACAAAAGGCAGGCGGAGATTCCTGGTCCCTGAGACCCACACCAGCACATCAGTTACCTTCTCCTCTAAGGAGAGGGCTACCCCTGGGCCAAGGAGAATGCCAAGTTTTCAGTCCTGGGGCAAGGCCACCACATCTGGTTGGGCAGTGTACGATCCATGCAACCATTCACACAGTCTTGCCTCTGTAGTCCCTGAGGCATCCCTCTCTATATTCAGAGCACAGGCTACCATCAGTCAAGAGAAGACCTCAATTTTTAATCCTCTCACAATAGAGACAAATACTTGGTATCTCAAAAGCACGCTGGCTATAGGGACACATTCATAATCACCAACTACTAACAGGCATCAGTTGCCCACATCTCCCAGTCCACAGGATTTTTTTTTACTTTTTTTTGCCCTAAAAATGTAAGCATAGAAAGCAGATTGCACTTGAGCCCCATTTGCTTTGAAAAATAATGCAGAGGTTCTTGAACTTCTTGTGCATCAGGATTGCTGAAGGTGCTTGTTAAAGTCATACATCTCTGACCTCACCACAGGATGCTCAACTCACAAGTGTAGAATGGAACCTAGGAATCTGCAATTTTACTGGTATACATGCCACCAACCAACCCCAGGCTTGTAAAGTCAGTCATCATGGATTGAGAAGCATCGAGATAATGCATGCAAACCACTTAACACAAAACTTGGCATGTTCCAAAGTGCTCCATACTTACTAGCTGTAATTATTAACATTTGGAATTGATCCCAACTTCATATATTCTACTCAGACCTGACCTTTGTTAAGTAAAAATTGCACATGGATGTGGCAGTGTGGCAGCGAACCAGAAGCTGATTTAGTGCAAGGAAAGAGAACTGAAAAGAGGGATACAGGGCAGAGAGAACCTAGTTTGTGTCCTTCTAGTGATCTATTAACCTTCAATGAGAACTCTTGAGCCTTAATTACCACCCTCATTCCACAGTATCAACAGCTCTGAAAAGATAAAACAGCGGTGTCTGAAACAATTATCTATGAAGCAGAAGTTCCCAAAAGTAAAAAACACTCAAAATATTGGCATTTTCATTTTTCTGCCTCAAAGAAAGCAATACAAGATTATTTGTTTTGTAGGACAAAGCAGGGCCCAAGTAAGCAGGGCATTTTAAAATGGCTGAGTCCGCCAATGTTAGCACAGAACAGAAGTAAATCCCCAATCTGATTGGCTGCCATGCTTCCATGGGTTTTGATAAGCGCCTCTGTGATGATGTGGGCCCTCCACAGATGGGTGGAGCTAACCACATCTATTTTCCACTGGGAATCACTCCTCACAGCAAATAGGATGGCCTTAAGGAAATCTTCTGTTTAGTTTGTATGCTCCTGAGTACAGAACAAAGCTCTGTTGTTTAAGAGCATTAAGTAACAAAAGCTCCGTTCTTCCAAACCAAGAGGGAAACAGGAGAACCATCCAAAATCATCTGGTCTTAAACTGTCAGGATGACAAGAATGAAATATTATTTTAGGCTGCCCAACAGCCATCAGTCACTCACTCTCCTCCCCTGCCTTCAGAAAACAATTACTCAATATGGTCTTTCTCTGACACATGGGCAGCCTTAGGAAAAACTGTTCCAGATATTTGGAAGTAGGGTTCTTCCTGCATTTAAGTCAATGGAAGCTATTCAAAGCCCTCTTAGCTTTCTCTTTGAATCATGGGCATAGGAAGACAGCTGCCTGTACTCATACAATTAAAGTAAAACAGAAACCGTGTGAAAAAAAATATTGTTAAACTATCCCAGGTGATTAATGTGTGTTTTATTGCCTAATTCCCTCAGTAACCTCTGAGAGGTTTGATATGTATTATTATTCCCGTTTTTACCAAGAGTAAGAGAGGCTACATAAACTTCCCTAAAGGACACAGAGGTGGGGGATCTCTCCAGTGGCTCAGTAGCAAAGAATCCGCCTGCCAAGCAGGAAACACAGGTCTGATCTCTGGGTCAGGAAGATCCCCTGGAGAAGGAAACGGCAATCCACTTCAGTATTCTTGACAGGGAAATTCCACAGACAGAAGAGCCTGGTGGGCTACAGTCCATGGGGTTGCAAAGAGTTGGATGTTACTGGGCACGCAAGCATGCATATCACCCAACTACCCACCAAAAGCTTGCATCAGGCAGCTGCTGCATCACAGGCACACCAGGTTTAACCAACTATATATGTTTCTGCCAAAACGATAGAGGGGAATGATAGACTGTTTTTATATGCATGTCTTTCATTAGTAGAGAAAGTTAGACATTTTTCCTATATATTGGTCATTTGAAATTTTTCTAGGAATTAATTATACCTTTCATTTTTCTACTTTACTAGAGCCTGACTCCAAAAATTCATTCTATTAGACTCTGATGCAAAAATTCATTGTAAAGTCTTTATCCTGCCTGGTGCTGTTTTCTTATTATCTGTGCTGGTGTATCAGAGACTTTGATCTACAG